ACTTAGTACACTCACACTAATTCTTGTCCTTGTACATGTACTTTGGATAATAATGATCATCATATTCAACCGTCATTAATTGCCCTATGCCCCTCCCTTCCCCTCCAACCCCTCTGACCTATCTAGAGTTCCTCTATTCCTCCCATGCTCCCTCTCCCTATCTCACTATGAATCAACCTCCTTATAGCAAAGAAAACATTTGGCATTTGGTTTTTTTGGGATTGGCTAACTTCACTTAGCATTATCTTCTCTAACTCCATTCATTTACCTGCAAATGCCATGATTTTATTCTCTTTTATTATTGAGTAATATTCCATTGTGTATATATGCCACATTTTAAAAAATCTGTTCATCTTCATCTGTTGAAGGGCATCTAGGTTGGTTCCACAGTTTAGCTATTGTGAATTGTGCTGCTATAAATATTGATGTGGTTGTGTACCTGAAGTATGCTGTTTTTAAGTCCTTTGGGTATAGACCAAGGAGAGGGATTGCTGGGTCAAATGGTGTTTCCATTCCCAATTTTCTAAGAAATCTCCATACTGCTTTCCATATTGGCTGCACCAAATTGCAGTCCCACCAGCAGTGTATGAGTGCTTTTTAAATGCGTTTTATTGGTGCATTACAATTATACAAACTAGTGGGATTTATTGTGATATATTTATTCATGCACATAACATAACTTGATTAATTTCATTGCCCAAGTATCTCCAATGACTATTTGAAGTTCTTTTTCCCCCTACAGCAGTTAGTTGCAGAGATAACAGGCTAATTAGTGATAATTTATTTGATTCTGATGAAATCAGATTGAGAAAACATTAGATAACTATCACCCACATAGTACACATTTAGGATAAGATGGCACTAGGTTTTTATTTCTGATCCAGAAATAAAAAATGGATCAGATAAACTGGATCAGAAATGTATATGATATACTACTGATCTTTTTAAGTACATCTGATATTTTGGGGATTTCATCAATCTTATTTCAAAAAAATTTCATGCTTCATCCAGTAAGTTGTCATTTTCCTTTGAAGTGGTAGTAAATCTTGGGATTTAGCTCTTGACTCAATTATTGTTCCCTTTGCTATAAAATTTATTTTGACAAATTGCATGAAATATTTGTAATAATATTAGGTCCCATATTATTAGTGTTCTACAGAATGTTTCTTTTTCAAATTTCTTATCTATTGAATATATATATATATATATATATATATATATATATATATATATATATAATCATATGTAAGATGCAGTGCTGCATGCTGGAGGGAACAATTCACCTTTAAAAGCTGAGATGTCCAATTTTTAGTTTCTTTATTTTTGTGTCTAACCTTAATAAATATTAGTGCACTTTGATCAAGTTATTGTGACACAAACAATAGACAGTGTATGTAAACACCTAACTCATAGAAGAAATTAACATATTTTTAAAAGTCTGTTTTATCTTTTTCCCGTTTTTATAATATCACTATAGTCAATTACTATTTAAATAAAACAGAGAATCATATAGTAAACCCACCCATTTATGTATATAGAAGATCTGTGATCATGTAAGACTTGCAAATCTCACTTTTTTTAAGAGAGAGAGAGAGAGAGAGAGAGAGAGAGAGAGAGAGAGAGAGAGAGAATTTTTTAATATTTATTTTTTAGTTTTCGTTATCTTTATTTTATTTTTATGTGGTGCTGAGGATCAAACCCAGCGCCCCTCGCATGCCAGGCGAGTGCGTTACCCCTTGAGCCACATCCCCAGCGCATAAATCTCACTTTGAGCACACAGTATTCATGATATCTCATCATAAAATAGCTTTTAGATTAGTTCAAGTCCTCTCATCAGTAATTAGAAACTCTAGTCTTATGTTAGTAGTGAAATCATTGAATTTGTATGACCAAAGTCTTTTTCTGCCTTCTAATGCCCAGGCCTGGTTATAGGTGGGATAACTGTAATTGAGGGAAGGGATGAAGTTGCTTTTAAATTTTCCTTATCTTGGATGTCTTTTCCTTTACTCCAGAGACTCTATTATCTTCTCAACACTATTTTTGATCCCTCCAGATTTGGAGCATAGGAAACAGGTGGAATTAATGGGTATGAAATTGGAATGTTCTTACTGCACTACCACTATTGCAAGCTGATGACACACTCTCCAGGCTTTGCAAAATTTGAGTTTGCTCGTTCTCTCCTAGAGAGTCTCTAACTGGCACTCTATTTTGCCTTATTGAATATTTCTGTTTATCCCCTAGATACTCAGAGTGGTAGATTCTCTCTGCTGAAGTTTCTTCATTTCTGTGACAGCCTCTTAAACTGCATCTAAGATGACCCCACATTCTATGTTTATTGATTCATTTTTCTCTTGCAGGTGTGGCCCATATGTGGCCACAGATACCATGTTCTTCAAAGCAGCGATCTCAGTAGCTAGGTAGACAATTAGACAGGGTCCCTAATAGTATCCCTATTATTGCCTAGAGAATGAAAGCTCCTTTGGTTCCCTGGGAGCTCCACTCAATTGGCTTGACAGAAAAGCAGATACCCTACTGTCCTGCCTTTTTAGTGGAGTAAAAAGACTGGGACTCACATCTCAGATCTCTCTGGAGAAATCTATTTGAAAATGAGTCCACTGTTTCCTGTTTGCCTCACTGTGGGTGAAGAGTTAGAGCCATATAACTAGGTTTTCAGAAACACAATTTGTAAATGCTGCATGTAGTCTTAATCGCCCTTTGAATTGAAATATCTATTGGTTCTTGGTACTTCAGCTGAAAATTCTTTTTATCAATCTAATACTTTGCAATAAGATTACTAATTAGCATCAATAGAAGTAGACTATTTCAATTATATAATTGAATTAAAATATAGAATTCAAATGAACAGATTGTGTATGACATTCAAATAACATGAACAAAATTTTAAAGTTCAACTAAAAATGGAAAATATCATTGAGCTTCAAGGAGACTGGAGACATGAATTTGAAACAGAACCACCTAACTTGCCATCATTTCTTGATTTCATAAGATAGATAATCTGAATATCAGTTTATATCTCAAGTATAGAAAAGATAAAGAGGAAGGAAAGCCTCTGTGATCCAGAAATACAGGTAAACATTTAGTGAATCTGTTTCCTTAAACTGAATGTTGGGAGTATACCCGGATTATGTATTTCATGACAATAAGACCTCATATGAAAATAGAACTTTCCAAATTCACTTCTGTCATTATTCTTGTTATAGTGACATGAAAAATTTATTTGTCAACATAAATGTTAACTTTTGTTCAGAAAGGGCCTAAAATAGAGAATTTTGGGGTAGGTCTACAGAAAAGAAAGTTATTTTCACTAATTATTGGGAACAATCCACTGAAGACCCTGGTTAATTAGTATGTGAGTAATTAAAGCAGTATGAAAAACAGCTGATAATGCAAAGATGAGAGTTTGCTAAGGAATTTGTTTATTTCCAGTTATGATTCTACTACTGGCTTTTGTCAAATAGTATAATTATTTAAATTTGATTTTTATAACTAACCATTTGTTGAAAATACAGTCTATATTCCAAATGAAAATAGCTAATTTGTTTGTTTATGGTTATAAAAGTAATACATGTTACTTGAACTTCCATTGTTATTTAAAATTAGGACAGACAAATCCCTCTTGCTCTCACTCCATTATCATTGATGACCACTCTACAGCATCTGATATTATTATTGGCTTCTTATTCTGTTTGAAATTGTCTTCTTTGTTTCCTGACACACTATTTTCCACATCAGATGAAAGCTCAATGAGGGCAGAAATATTTTTCCATTTACATCTGTCTTACTTATTTCCTGTTTAGAACAGTACTTGATGAAAGGAAGGTATCATTAAATATTTCTTTAATATTTGTCCTTTTTTCATATCTGTGCCTTCCTCTTCTGATTCTTCCTTTTCACAAATCTTAAACCTGACTACTTTCCCACCATTTAACAATTGCCCAGTCACAGGATTCTTTTGACAAATAAGATAGCAAAATTGTTAGGAACCTCATGAATCTCACCATCTGATTCTTATAATTTATTCCACTGTGTTTTTAAATATTATTTGCACTGAATTAATTCTACTTTAATTGCAAAAAGGAAATGTTTTCCCATGTTGTAAAAATACATTGAGGATATTTTGCTTATTTTCTGTATTTCTTTATATAAAATATGCATGTAAATATTGGCATAAGTATACTAAATGCTTTGAAACTTTATGCTACAAATGAATGTATAAGAACAAAAACAAGCCATGTAGAACTGGTTAGAACAAATAAATAAATAAATTCTAAAAAAACTAAAACCAAAATAACAACAGCAGCAAAATGAGGGCAATTATATTGAGTCAGGGAAGGATTTTCTCCATATTCAATATCCATATGTACCCTTCTCTGACTTGAAGAATTTTGTTTTCCTTATTAGTATAGCTAACTAATTCTATTTCCTATACAATACGTCTTGAATACCAATATAGACATTTTAATCATTATTTTACCATGCATTTTTAAAAAGTCAACGTTAAATTCAGTGTACTAGACCAAACTTACTTTCATATTGACTGTATTTTTTGAACTTCCAGTTGTTTCTAAAGAAGATAAGATTTGTCACAATAATTGTAACCTGCTTGTTCCAGAACAAAACTGAAATCATTGAGCAAGTTTATTTTCTCCTTTAAAAAAGATTAAAAACAACAGCAACATCAAAAGCCTAGTATCTGTGAGGTCTTGGGTTCAATTCCCAGTCCTGAAAAAATGCCCCTAAACAACAATGATTTAAAAAAAAAACATTTTTGATAATTTTGCATCATTAAACTGATGACAAGTCACTGATAACTTTTCACGTGTTTATTTGCAGTCCATATTTCTTCTCTGGCAAAGTGTCTGTTGAAATACATTGCCCATTTTAATTGTTTTTACTGTTGAGTTTTGAGAAGTCTTTATATATTCTGGACATAAGATTTGTTGAACATGCAATTTGTTCGTGTTTCTGATTTTTCATAGACACTCCATCACAGCGAGTACAGTTTATTCTTGGAACCGAGGATGATGACGAGGAACACATTCCTCATGACCTTTTCACAGAACTGGATGAGATTTGCTGGCGTGAAGGTGAGGAAGCTGAGTGGCGAGAAACGGCCAGGTGAGGATTTTGGTTGAAGGTTGAAGGCATATTAAAGAATTTTTATGTTATTGGAAAAAGAATTTCCCACTTCAACGATTTCACAAACATCAGTGATTACTGCTGATTTCTGAACTTGCTCATCTGGCCTGGGCATATCCTATAATGGGATATAGGTCAGAATGAAATCTGAAGGCAGTAATTATAGTAAACAGTGACGCAGAGCCAGCAACAGCTGCAGTCTTAAAGATATACAGTAGCATAATTTGTGTGTCATCAACAAAACAATAGAAATCTAAAAGTAATTTATTTCTATCTTTTCAGCTGTTGGCTTGAACCCAAATTGGTGATATTACATGATAATTTGAGTGTGGGCTTTTTTTTTTTTTTTTTTTTTTTAAGAAAGGGCAAATATTATGATAAGAGGCTTTAGGTATAGGCCTGGATTTCATGTCCTATTTAGTGAGGATAAAAATATTTCGTAATATGTTTATAAGATATGAATACATTTAAACAGAGTGTTTTATCAAAATGTTTTTTCTATAATTTATAATTCCTCTTTGTATGCTGCCAAATAATTAATGAATTAGTATAAAAAGTAATGAATGAAATTTCTTGCTTGCTTTTAACTCATTCTTGCTTCTTTAACATTTATGGAGTATCCATTATATGCTAGGTGTAATGGCTATAGAACAACTACAACAAAACCTTAGGTCTTTCCCTTAACAATTTTATAGTCTAACTTAAGTCAACAAATATTGTAAAGGCTGTAAATGAATGCTCTGGTTCAGGTATACAAAAGGAACTGTGGGCACAGCTAGGGTTGTCATTTACCCAGTGCTTCTCTAATTTTTATGTGAATACAAATCACCTGATATCTTGTTTGAAATGTAGATTTGGTAGGTTTTGGGCATGGAGTCTGGTCATGCTTTTCTAATGAGCTCCCAGTTGATGACATGTGTAGCAAGTATCTAAACCACAGGGCTGAAGGAAAGGGGAGCTGGATAGCTTCCCTGGCATAGGTTATTGCTCAGCCGACTCTTGAAGTTAACTGGGCAAAAAAGCAGAGGAGCAGGTATACGAGGAGGGGAACATGGTGTGTTATTGATTCAGGGTTTCCTGTTTTGTGGGGCTATCCTTTCCATGGCCAGACAGCTCTAATTATTAAAATTTTTTTCTGTTATTAGTGGACCTCAGATTGCAATAGTTTTCTGAAAGTTACAGAACTCTATTGGATCATGTCAAACTTGTAGGTTTATTTAATTATTGTCTTAACGATATCACATCAGAATTAATATGGAATTGATCATATAATCATGGTAATGAATTATGAATAATAAGGGCCCACATAATTTTTGTTTGATACAGTGGCCTTTACAGCTCTCTCTTATTTAAAAAATACTAAATAGAAGAAAACCAAAATGACTAACATCTAGTTCATCCATGTTGACATCTATAAAAATGGCTAATATTTGCCAATATTTGACATTAAAAAGTATAACATAGTAGAAAACCCAGGGTATCCCTCTATCTGTATGCAGGTAGTTGTCTTCAAAGGCAACTAGTTAACAGTGTTGTGCATATTCCCAAAAAACTTCAGATTCCAAAATCCAAATTCCAAAATGCCCTTTTTCAATTTTTACAATAGGAATTATATAACACACGGTGTTCATACTTTATTTTTCTCACTTATATTTATAACATTTCCTGTATCAGCAACATAGACATACTTTTTTTGGGGGGGGCTACCAGGGATTGAACTCAGGGGCACTTGACCACTGAGCCACATCTTCAACCCTATTTTGTATTTTATTTAGAAACAGGGCCTCGCTGAGTTGGTTAGCACCTCACCATTGCTGAGGCTGGCTTTGAACTTGAGATTCTCGTGTTTTAGCCTCCCAAGCTGCTGGGATTACAGGCATGCACCACTGCACCTGGCTAGACATACCTTTTCTGCATTCAGCTGTATGGAAAAACTTTATATAACCTATCATGATGGACATGTAGACTGAGTTTTCCCCCCATAAAATTGTTATAATGTTTATTTACACATGTATCTTTTAGGTACTTATATAGGGTAAATTTGTAACAGTAGAATTTTATGTACCAAAGAAAGCAGACATTTTAGATATTGCAAAATTACCATCATAAAATGTTTTACTAATTTACACATCCACCAACAGTGTATGAAGAGTGACTTATTTCCCCAAACCCTTGTCAGGCTAAGTCATCAGTTTTAATTTTTTCCTATTTCATATATGAAAACATGAATCTCATTGTTTTAATTGGTTTTCTTTAATTGTTAGAGAGGTTCAATATCTTTTCATGTTTTATTTTTTTCTGGTGTACTTATTGTTCATTCCTTTTACCCTTTTGTGTCAAATCATTCATTATTTTATTTGCCTTTTTGAATACTTTAAATTGGTGATATGTTATTTAGTTATTACCTCTGGGTTTTGTTTTTGTTTTTGTTTTGCATCAGGGATTGAACTCAGGGGCACTTGGACACTGAGGTACATCCCTAGCCCCATTTTATATTTTATTTAGAGACAGGTTTTCACCAAGTTTCTTAACGCCTCATCATTGCTGAGGCTGGCTTTGAACTCCTTTGAACTGCTTTGATCCTCCTGCTTTAGCCTCCCAAGCTACTGGGATTAAAAGTGTCCACCTCTGTGCCCCAGTTATTACTTCTTTTAATGAAAATTTTACATGAATTAATCAGTTTTACTTATGATAATTTTTATTGTAATATTTTAAAAATAGCTGTTTAAAAGTTTTTATTTAACCTCATCAATTTGAAGATTAAGAACTTTCTATTTTTATTCTCCAACAATATAGAAAACTAACTACAAAGGAGCTTTAAAATATATATGTGCTCAAAATTTTTATTTGATGGCAGGAAAGCAATGTATAATAATCTTTTCCACAATTAAGTGATAGAACCTTTGCTCTTTCATGAATAAAGTTATTGATAAGGAAGTTAAGGTGCCCACCTTCTTGTTTAAGGCTGGGAGCATCTGTCTTTCACTGGTTATAGGAAACAGGTTAACCCTGATGACTTGAAGGAAGATGTGGTGGTTTTGATGAGTAGAAAACTCTAGTTACTTGGATTCACTTGAAGTTATTGTTAAGGCTTATATTTTGAAAGCTTTTCTATTCTTTAACCTCATCCTTAAACTGAGGAGTAAAATTGGAATATGTTTTGGCAATAGTAACTTCCTTATTCTTGGAATGGTTGGTGATTTTCACCTTCTAGGTCAGATGGTGATCCATTTCTTTTAACCAGAAACTTTCCAGTAACTTTTCCATCCTCATAAAGCTGGGAAGGGACAGAAGCAATACAAGAATCTAGCTTTGAGCTGGGGTTGTGTCTCAGGGGTAGAGCACTCGCCTCACATGTGCGAGACCCTGGGTTTGATCCTCAGCACCACATAAAAATAAATAAGTGAAATAAAGGTATTGTGTCCAAATACAACTAAAAAATAAACATTAAAAAAAAGAATCTAGCTTTTCACTCTGTCACAGTTGAGCAGGTAGTATTGTATCATTCTCTAGAGGATTACATTGAAGAAGTTGTTTATCCTAAACCACCACAATGTATTGCTACTTATCTTTTTTTTTAAATTTATATATGACAGCAGAATGCATTACAATTCATGTTACACATATAGAGCACAATTTTTCATATCTCTGGTTGTATACAAAGTATATTCACACCAATTTGTGTCTTCATACCTATACTTTGAATAATAATGTTCATCACACTCCACCATCCTTAATAACCCCATGCCTCCTCCCTCCCCCTCCAACCCCTCTGCCCTATCTAGAGTTCATCTATTCCTCTTGTGTTCCCCCTCCCTATCCCACTATGAATCAGCCTCCTTATATCAAAGAAAACATTTGGCATTTGATTTTTTGGGATTGGCTAACTTAGCATTATCTTCTCTAACTTTTCCATTTACCTGCAGATACCATGATTTTATTCTCTTTTATTGTTGAGTAATAGTCCATTATGTATATATGCCACATTTTTTAAATCCATTCATCTATTGAAGGGCATCTAGGTTGGTTCCACAGTTTAGCTATTGTGAATTGTGCTGCTATAAACATTGATGTAAGACCCAGAATAGCTAAAGTCATCCTTAGCAGGAAGAGTAAAGCAAGTGGCATCACTATACCAGACCTTAAACTATACTGCAGAGCAATAGTAACAAAACCAGCAAGGTATTGGCACCAAAACAGACTAGTAGAACAATGGCACAGAATAGAGGACACAGAGACTAACCCCCCAAATTACAATTATCTTATATTAGATAAAGGTGCCAAAACCATACATCAGAGAAAAGATAGCCTCTTCAACAAATGATGCTGGGAAAACTTGAAATCCATATGCAACAAAATGAAATTAAACCCCTATCTCTCACTATGCACAAAACTCAACTCAAAATGGATCAAGGACTTAGGAATAAAACCAGAGACCCTACATCTAATAGAAGAAAAAGTATTACTGCTTATCTATAAAGAGCAAAGTTAATTATTTTAACAATATTAAGAAGGACCAATGTTTGTAGTCATGCTTTTGGAAGCTTAATGGTACAGCTGTTTGAGGTTCAGGGAGACATCTGATGAGCAGTCAAAATAGTAACAGACATTGAAGAGGAGGGTAGATGAATTTTGGCTGAGATACAACACTTTAGGGGTAAACAGAATATATTTATTGAGAACTTAGAGATTTAGTGGTTTTAAAGTGGCAGAAGTAATTTTGTTTTTCTAAAAGGACTAATTTGGGTTAATTCATGAATCCATCTGACTTTTCAAATGCAGTTTCATTCTAATCAATCATTAGCATTAATTTGAAGCACTTTTTTTTTCTTTTGGTTAATATTCCAGGTGGGATTAATAATTGTCTATCCTAACAGTGGAAATAAAAGCAATATTTTATCAGCACACTGCACCTGTCACATATCACATCTTGAATAATTTATGCCCACTGTTATTGCCAAGTGAAACTTAGGCAAACTTTTAGATTTTGAAGTTTAATTTTTGAATCATAATTATTTAATAAATGTTTCTGAAAACCAGCTGTTCACTTTTTAAAACTCTAAAAGAAGCATAAGAAGAGGCTAATGAAATCAACACAATTACAATGTCATGCATATAAATAGTATATCATGTTATTAATAGAAAAGTGAGTAAAGCCACCACAGCTGTGTGGTGATGGAGACAACATGTTCAACTCACTGTGGTTGCCCTTTAAAAATGCTTCTCACAGATGAGCTCAGAGGAAGCCAGGCAGGGGGTACACTTAGCCTCTGATACATACATGGTAGTGTGGAAAAGAAATATTACATCAAAACAGTTTTATTGATGTAGCGAAGATATTTGATACTCAAAATTTAGTAAATGTTCAAGTAATCTAGAATTTTTAGCAGCATGTGAAATGTGAAGATCATGTGAATTAAGAACATTGGGCTTAGATATGTTTCACTTTCCTTAAGAGAGGTATAGGTGTTCTGTGATTATATATGTTATTCTCGAGCTCCACCCTAACCATATCCACCTCCTTCCATGTGCCCTAACTCTCCTAAGAAAGGATGTTTCATTTCCTCCAAAGCTATAATTTTGGATGATGTAGGAACTTCTTTCTGTATGGATATAATCAGAGAATAAAAATTCCTAGAAAAGTTGAACTGAGTTGGTGGTGATAGCATACACAGGAAGAGTTAACTTCTCTAGAAAACATTTATTTCTATCTGGAAAAAGAATTTTCTTTTGTATATTTTCAATTCAAGTATTGTACAGCAGATTGTCATTGACTTAATCCTCAAAGAATTCATGAAACACTTATTTAATGTTTAGTATAAAGAGACTTCGGTGTGCTAATCATGGATGAAAACAGATCTAGACATACTGGAAGAAATTAAAATAATCTGCTCAGGGTTTAAATCTTCTCCCATCCCATATAGAAAATGTCATGTATTTGGCCTTCAGCTTTTTATTCGTTTTATTTTTTGTATCATCCATCACATCACATTCATGCTCTGAGACTCCTATTTGCTTTGGTTTGCTATTCAAACAAATGTCAGCAGAGTTTATTTGAAAACTGGAACAAATTGCAGCACTTTAGGTCATTAACTGCAATCAGACATCTTGCAACTCATAGTATATTTAGGGACTAAATAGACCTAATGTGTTCCAAACCTGTTTATGGGATAAAAAAACAGAAAAGAGAGACATACTCATGTGGCATATATATTATTTTATAGTCTCTTTAAAAGTGTTTGTTTAAATGTCTCTTAAAACTTTTGGCATCATTCTGGGGTTACTGAATCGTGTAATGTTTAGTATCTTTAGTAACTTGATATTTGTTACTTGTGGGTTCCTTTTTATGGAAAGCACCTTCTGTCTTCTATAATACTCATAAAATCTATGGGTACATCAAACCATCCATGCATGTAACATATTTGGTAATTTAAACTACCAAACTGCTTGGAACTTCCAGAGACTCCATCCCTTCTTATCAGGGTTCTTAAAATTGAATTTTTTACTTTCAAAACAGCCAAATGAAATGATGTAAATGTTTGGTCCCTTATTTAATTGTTTTTACTATTATTTAGAAGTAAAATTTAACTATAACTTCCTTTTAAGAAAGGGCTAGACCATTTTATATGGATGAAGAGGCATATGAATATTTAAAAAAATAAAACGTTATTACAATTTACAAAAAATGCTATTGTATGGGTCAGTTTTACTGATGTAATTAAGAAATTAGGAAACATGATTTTTAGTTCAGGGTCATGTACAAACACTCTTCAGGTATCCACTCGAATAAAAATTTTAAAGACAAAATTTTAGAAGCAATTTTTTAACATGTGGATGGTAGAAAGTGCTATAACTCCAGAAATAATAAATGGAGGCCATCTTCTCATAGGAAAAAAAAATCTATTTCACCTCAAACACGATTAATATCCTTTCATAACCCTATGTGTTCTTTGCCACCCAACATATTAGAAACTAGATTTAAAATCCAACATGATTCTTCAATCAAATTAGCACTAGCCTAAGTACCTCTATATAGTCTTTCTTTTGCTCGTTTTGTCTGAAAATCACATCATGTCAGAAATAAATAAGGTGACAGAAGACTTAATGAAAGTTGCATCTATTCCTTTGGTGCCACCATTTTGTGGAACATTTCATTATAGTCCATTACACAGAATAGGATGTTTGGTTCTTACAAAGGAAAAATATCTATTTTTTTCTAGCATAGTAGGTAATAAAGAAAACAAATATAGTCAGTGTAAAAAAGAAAGGGAGAAAATAAGAACATTTTTCAACTTGAGATTGTTTTTAGACATGGACAAAAATTATGTTCAATCAGTTTGTACTATAAGAATTAACATAAGATCTTTGAGCTGAAAAGAACCATAATAAATTCAACACAGGCAATTATATTATGGTGAGAAATATGCACAGACTGGGAAAAATAAAATTAACAACATCCTGGAGTTGAATCCTGCTTTGACAAGATCACTGGCTAGGTGATCTTGGACAAATAATTTAATGTGCTGAGTTTATCACATTTTTATTCAGATGAGAAAATTGTAACCCAGAGAAGTTGAAAGAATTTTCCTTGGTCACATGGTAGCTTAATTGTAGAATATGGACAAACCTAGCTTTATTTTTATTCTCAACAAGTCCAAGAAACATTCTACAAAACAATTCTGCCTCAAATTGTCCATCAAGAGGTTGATTCTTTATGATGCTGACATTCATAATGTGACCATGGCCTTAGTAATTTATTGATAATTTAATAATACTTACTAATTCTAATTTATTATATTTATTAAAATCATATTCACTCTCACCAACAATTCTAATTAAGATTTTTATGCTAGATGAATAGCTAAAATGGTCATCTAGATCAACTGATATCATCTGAATTATGCTAAAAATATAATGAATCTCAAGGTTTTAAACTACAAGTTTGTTTGTTTTAATGGCTCATTGTTCATCTGCATCATGGGATCAGTGGAGGCTCCTCTGTTCATTATAGTTACTTAAAGACTCTGATTGATAGAGAAACCTCTGTCTCAAACATTGTTTGTTTTCATGCCCAGGATAAAAGAGAGCTCAGAGGCTCTCAGCAAGAAAATACTCCAATATGGAATTGGCACACATAATTTCTTCTCTGAATTCATTGACCAGAAATCATTTTCACCATCATTAGTCACAGTGACATGCTCTCACCTGGTTAAAAAGGAGCCAGGTAGTAAAATCCTACTCTTTAGTAGGAAAAGGGGAGAACCAGTTACAGTTCATGAGCAATATTGTAATATTCTTCATGTGATGTGTGAGGTATTGTGGCTCTGTTAAGGGATGAAAAGCTTTAAGAATCACTAACATGAAAAATTTCTAACTGTGTAAATAAAAACATCTATAAAATTGCCAACCTAGAAGAGGATAACTTTCAGTGACTTGGGGCTGAAATGTCAGTTTTTTCCAACCTCAATATGTTCTCTATAGGCATAGCTCTTCCTCCCTGTCTGCAAACTTTGCAGGATTGGCTCTTGTTCCCTATTGCTTTCCTTTTCACTTCCTGACCATTTTTTTTCCCTCCTAAACACCACCAGACACAGATGCAAAGCTGTCTTTTTCTTTTTTTCTTTTCTTTCTAAGAACTCATTGATCTCTCTTGCTACTCTGCACATTAATTATTCTGAAAAACTCATTGGTTAGTTACTTTTAGATGTTCCATTTGATTCCCTGTCTAGTTACTACCACACATTTGTCATCTGTGGAGTTGGGTCATTTGATTACATAAAATATCAATATAATATTATATATAGAACTTCTGTGATATTGCATGATGAGAGGATGTAGGGCCCAAATGACTAAGGACAGATGGAATGAAGGAAATGGTGGGAGATTGAGGGAAAGGCAATTTAGGATAGGGTTCATTAGAAAGGAATTAAACTGGTGAACTATTAGATTAGAGAGCAAGACCCTAAAGCATTGAGTGGTTGCTGCCAAAGTAGTAAAATCATTGGTTTCTCTTTATCTCTTCTACTAATCTTGCTTACAAACCATTCCCAGGTATTACTATTCATTTCACTCTAAGAAGGCAGTAGTGCCTCATTTGGCATCACAGCATCACGGTTCTCTTCTTCTGCTTCCCTGGAAGGAACACTCAGGGAATGGAGTCTTAGTTCAGTTCTCACATGTTCAGAGCCTAGGAAGTTTCTTTCACTAATTTTCATTCAACAAGCCTAATAAAAACTTTTCCTACAGAATAGGCAACAAATTATAATAGCCTCCCTAAAATTTGAATGGGAATATTATCAAGAACTAAAATATTTAGGCTTAATTTCTTCCACTAAACTAAATATTGTATTCTTTTATTTTCTTATTCAATTAATATTATCTTTACATGAAGAAGTATGCTGTCTTTTTTAGCCCTATATCAGATTCATGGTGACCACTGGTTGTTCAGAGTTAGAAAAATTAACAAAAGTAATAAGAGCTTCCTTTGTTTTTAATAATCTTTCAATTACAAAATGAATGTTTTTTAATGAAACTAAAATGAGTAACTTGAATGAGATTTTACCTACTTCCCAAACCCATGAAACTAAGAAGAAGCATGAAAAAAATCCCTGGTACCAGGGATTGAACTCAGGGGCATTCAACCACTGTGCTGCATCCCCAGCCCTCTTTTGTATTTTTTTATTTAGAGACAAGGTCTCACTTAGTTGCTTAGGGCCTTGCTTTTCTGAGGCTGGCTTTGAACTTGTGATCCTCCTGCCTCAGCCTCCTGAGCTGCCATGATGCCTGGAAACATGATTATCTTTCTATTTATAACTTATATAATTGTCAAAAAGGATCACTCATCTACAATATAAAATTCAATGTGCTGATAAAAATATTTATTTGTATAGGTGGTTGAAGTTTGAAGAAGATGTGGAAGATGGAGGGGAAAGGTGGAGCAAACCATATGTGGCTACTCTTTCATTGCACAGCTTGTTTGAGCTGAGAAGTTGCATTCTGAATGGAACTGTGCTGCTGGACATGCATGCCAACACTTTAGAGGAAATTGCAGGTATATCCTTTTCTCCTTTGTCTATTTTGTTTCTGTGGATTCAGCTGATTTTTATCACTCTCTTTTCCTTTTTATACCTGTATGAGTAATTCCATTCATGTGAACTTTGGAAAACAAATTCTCATGATCAATGTCTGGAGCCTTACAAGTCACCTTCTACCCCTTAACTTGAGGTAAAAAAAAATTAAAAAAGAATCTCAGAGAAATGTAGTCTAGATGGTTAGTGATGACTCTAGGGCAAGAACCTAGAGGTACTGACCCCCATTTAGTATTTATTTATCACTTGTATTTAGATTAACACCATTAGAAAACTGAAAGAAAAAAACCTAATTTTTCCAATATTCCAAAATATGAAATAACCACATGAAAAATTTCAATAATTAGGAAAAATATTGGATTAGAATGGGCACAGAAAGATACAGCCATTTGTTTTAAATTGAATTAAAACTTTTACATTCTAGAGAAAGCCAAGTATTGCAGCCATGCTTCATAATTTACCACTAAGTTTAGACTCTGGGACAAATGATTTGTACTGGAATTCTATTATGGCTTTATGCACCATCAGTTGTATTTGTGAAATGTATCACTGTCGCAGAAATAGAGTCAAAGAAAGAAGACACGGTATAGCAGAATAAAATAATACAAAAAATACAGAAATCAGTTTTGAAAGAGTATAAATGAAATGATTAATGAAGATTTTAAAAATAAACATAAAGAAAAGAATAAGGCAGGCTCTTTTAAATTCCTACTTTGGGAAAAAATAAAATTATTTTACGTGGGATTTATTTATGAGATAGAAAGATTTAAAGGAGGCTTTAATATGTTAATTATATTGCAGAAATGGGGAAAAACTCCCAAAACTATGTGTGTGTTTTTTAAAAATCACAAATAAGAGAAAAATGAATTGGTATTTAATCATCATATTAGAAAAATAAGGTATCTAATTTAATTTCTAGAACAGCCCATAAAGTAGGAATGATGCCCAGTTTTCAATGAGAAAATGGAAACTAAAATTTCCATGGCCCAGATCCATCAAAAGGCCTCTGATTTTAAGCCCAGTGTTCTTTCTTTTATATTAAACTGCTGTCTGAAGAAAAAGTAGATGTTGAAGTAGATGTTGCCTGCATTTTAATGGTGGTTTAACCATTTTATGAATTATTGATTTGGGTCATTTGTGGTGATAGACATGCATATATTGAACCACCTCAAATCAAGAAAAATAAGCCTTCTTCCCTAAGAATATACTACATATAAAGAAGTTACCCTTTAAAATACATATATGGAGGCTGAAAGACTATATGAATTTAGAGTATGATTTTGGAAAAACACAGGCTATACTGATGGTTGACACTAAATCAAGATTTAAAAAGGTCAACTTAGAAATGTGCAAACCTAAGAATGTAGGAATAGTAGCTATTCCCCTCAATTTCTTAGTTTTACATTTTAGGTCTTGTTGATATTCAATAAACAGTTTTTGTATTTTAAAATGGTGGCTTTTCCTAAACTTTGAAGTTTAGGAAGCTCTAAACTTTGTATATAATCTTTGAGATACTCATAACAAACTTGTAGTTTAGTATTATCATTAGCCTTATTTCTTAAATACAGACACTAATAATCTGAAAGTTAAAAGATTTTGCCTTAAGGAGTTCTTCTGCTTCACTTACCGATGGCATTATCTTTGAAATTGACTAATCCAAATAAGTTTTATATTGGCTTTATTAATGAAATCGTCAAATTCCTCAATCTGTCAAAATAAGCCTCAGGTAACATACTCTTCATATATCTTTACCAGGCTTTAAATTTCTTAAAGCATATAATTTCTAATGCTTTTTTCAGGAAGTTATTCTTACCAGGAAATCTTTTCCCAGTAATTTGACTAAAGCTCTGTTGCTCATTTCATCGGCTTAGTTCAATTTTACTGTCTAAAATTATGTTTCTTTTCCCTACCCTGGCCTCCTTCTCTAAGTTAGTTCTGTAGAATATGTGAAGATTAGCTGTGTTAAATCTAGCTTTTTCAAGCAAATTGCATTCTCTATGTCTATTCTTACAATGAAAGTAGTTCAATGGAAGCTTGATACCCTAAAATAGCTTTTTTAGTATTCTTTCTGCCTTTCTAATTAGTGTCTTTCTGACTCTGAAGTAGCCCAACTTGAACGTCCCACTTTCAGTGAGGAGCACCTTGTAAAATGTTGTTCAGGATATGTCAGTAGTTTAGAGCTAACATCCTAACATCATGTAGAAAATAATGGTACAAATGTTTGTTTTGGTCATTTTACCTTGATTCCTTTTCAATTCTTAATGAGAAATTTCTTCTCACCTAGTAAGCATAATTTAATTTTATTTAAATTAAAAGTTATTTATTTCTGCCCTCAATAAAATCTCACTATTTTCTCCTTACAGCTTGTAATCACTTTCTTCTTGTTTATACTTACTGCTCTTTTCATGTTATGACAATTGAGCTGCATTACTAAGTGTGTAATAAGTAAGTCTGTTTTACGTTTTTAGGATTTCTGACTTGGCAAAGAACTTTCATATCCATTAATGTAGTTTATTTTCACAACCTTATGAAGTAGGAAAGAGGCTATTTGCCCCTTTTTAAGATGGAAATAATTTCTTTCGATCAACCCATAATCATAGATTTTTTTTTGTTCTGTTTATAATAAATTGTGATCAGAATCATTAACAATAAGACTTGGAAGTTTTTTCCCTCCTCCTGTTTATCATTACTTTTTCCATTTGTTTGGCAGTTATAAACTAGGGACATATATTAGTCGATTGTTTTCCTTTTCCAAAAGTTAGACTAAAAGTTTATCTTCAAGGACGCTAGGCCCTAGTACTTTGTGAATGCACGGCTCTGAAGTACTGTTTTCTACATGTTTCCTAGTAGAGAAATATGCCCTAGATATTGTTTTGGAACGATCAAGGATTTTTATATCAGTGTTTTGATGTTTTTGACAGACTTAGATAATTCCTTAAGAGATTTTGTTAGAATTAGGAGCAGAAAATCCCATTTGTATCTGGCAGGTCTGTCAAGAATTTCTGGTATAATTAAAGTTGGATTTTCTCTTGGATAAAGTTAATTTAAAATGTATCTATTTCCCAATGTTTCAGCGAACTCAATAAATCTAAACTTCAACCTTAAAAACACTACTTAACCTTTTCAAATCCAAAATTCCCCCAGACATATTTTCTTACTGTGATTTATTCTGATGTGGAGGCTAATTTTATTGAAAATACTTCCTAATTATATTTATATACATTATAGACAATTTAATGATCTATGTTAATCTCTTTGAAGTTCAGCTTTATAAAGATTAAAAATGAAAATATGCTCTTTCCAGCGTGAATATTTTATCCTGATTCTGTCAATGAAAGTTACAGAGAAATTAGAACCAAACTAAAGTTAGTACCATGAACAAATGATCAATCATAGCTTTCAACTCATTGAAGTAACTTCCGTTGTTTAGAATCTTTTATTGAAATATAAATCCACACAGTTTGTTCCACTGAATATAAACTGCAGACTTGGGAATATAGGACTAACTGTATACTTTTAAACACATTTGTATTATAAAACTCTTTGGTCTGTGAAGTAAGTGTTCTATGGTGGTTTATATTTTTATGATTTTAGTGCTGGCAACCAAAAGCTAGAATTCCAAAATTTCAGGTTCCCTACTCTTCTCTCAATTTTTTTTTAAGGAAAAGACAATGGGTTTTCAAAGTACTTATATGATAATCTTGAAAGAGGCATAGATTTATATAGGATTTGCAAAATCTTTTGATCTCTAAGAGCATTTCGTAGTTAGGATGGACTGATGAGTGCCTGATATTAGGAGGAGAAATAATTTTTCTTTTTTCTGAGGCCTTTTTACATAAATGATTGTAGTTTTTCTAGCACCTGCTTAACAATAGAATAGGGTGACCTATTTATCCTTTTTCTTCTTGCTTCTTCCTTTATCAAGACCCTGGCATTGTGCTTTGGCAGGCGAGACTGTATCATTTAGACATCATAGCCTGCTGAGATTGCAGGACTTGACTCTGGGCCCAAAGTGATTATGGTCCATTATCCTTTCCTACTTTTCAAGTTAATTCTGATATATATTATAGTGATGAAGAGAACAATGTAAGTGATTATTGAATCAGATTCCCATTGGTACTTAAATCTCACCCTAGTATAAGTTATATTCATCAACAAGAAGATTAGCTTTTCTACTTCATTAATGGGTTATTTGATGATGTTATACCTCAAAGGAGTTTATTGTATATTTTGTGTAACTAATGAGCAGATAAGTATTTTTTAAAATATTTACTTTCTCTTATGTAACTGTTTAAAATAAAGACATCATTGCTGAGAAACTGTGAAGCTAGCAGTCTATGAATCTTTGTAGTGCTCAAAACTGAAAAAATTGTAGCTTATTAGAAATGAAAATTTATAAATATGTTCACAGTTTATTATATAATTAATTTTTATGATTAATTAGAATATCAAATAGGCAATCATACCATGGCTTACGGATGAAATTGCCTTATAATGATGTCATATTGGTGTTTTAATAATCTATTTTAAGTTATTTTATGAAGCATATATTATAAGCATATTTTATACATATTTTTTCCATCCTAGCAAGGATTCAGTATAATGTCATATATTTTGAATATTTATCAGATCTTTTATTTTAAAGTAATTTAGGGGCATTATAACTACTGATCTTCAAAGAATTGACAGATGGATTTAAATATTATCTTAATATTATATATCTTCATAATTGAAAGTGACCTTTTGAGATAGTTATAGTGGCTGAAATCTGAATATTTCACATTTTTATTAAGGCTGACTACCAAATATTTATTTTCACCTCTTTTCATGGGAAATAGTAAATCAATAGAGCAAACTATCTATATCCCACATTCCAAACGTGGCCTGCAGCCCTATCTAATAAGGCTTTTTAGCTAAAAATGGTGATTACATTTTACATGGTTGAAAATAATAAAAAAAGAAAATTAGTATTTTTAAATGTGACATTATGTGAAATAAAAATTTAAGTAACCATAAAAACATTTTGCTGGAGCACATCTGTGCTCATTTGTGTATGTTGTTTGTGGCTATTTTTGTGCTATGAAGACAGAGTTGAGTGGTTATGCTGGAGAGCACATGGTCCAGAAAGCCTAAAATTTTTATTATCTGCCTCACTTCAGAAAAAAAGTGTCTACGTCTGGTTTACAGAATTGACTCTTCAGTGAAGGGCAGTTCTTAATTAGTCTAAACTAATTATGTGAAGCCTGGTTTCATTGCAAATGACTGATTCTGGATGGGCAGGGCTTTGTCAGTTGGACCTAGGAGAATTTTTCCCGTCTGGGGGAAGACCCTTTTAAGAGACAATCACAAAAAGTTAATCAAATTTCTTGTTGGATGTGAGCAAGGACATATATTTCCTTGTTGCTGACTGCTACCTTATGTCCATAAGGAACACCAGGTGGAGGTTAAAACTTACATGTAGAGGAGAGAAGCAGGCAGAACCACAGAGGAATGGAATCAAAGCCAGCCTAACTTGAGTCTTCCTATTATGTGAACTAACAAAATTAATTATTTTAGCTCGTTTGATATGTATTTTCTATTATCAGCTAGCCCAGCTTTTTCTCTATAACATATACTATAATAAAATATGAATGTATTAAAACTACTGCAAATTTCAAGTTAGGGACTCATAGCCTAGTTAAAGATTATTACAAAGAAAATCTTGTATTTGGAAATATTATTTACCAATAGCTTCAATATTCCAATTGGTGCATCAGGTGCTTTATGTCATTAGTCCTGGCAAAAATATGAGATATTGCTACCTTCCCCCTTATGAATAAGCATATTCAATTTTGTAAGGTCACACAGATGGAATGTGATAGAGTGAACCAGGTCTATCTCCCTCATCCTTTTTCCTTTCACATTGAAAGAAAACAATAGCATATAAGGGAGAATTCTGCTAATTTTGAAACCTTCAGTGTCCTCAATGAGGCAGTGGAAATGATTCATTGTAATATGTTTTACATAAAGAGTTAGTGCTTCAGAAATTAATCACAGTTATATTTGATAATCTTAAACAAATTGCATTGAGATTTATTGAGGTGATCGGTTATATTACTACTTAACTCAAAATGCCTTTACCTAACCAATTCTTTTATGGGTATTTCTGATACTATGTGTGGTAAATGTCAATCTCCTTAGTGATAGCCTTCTGAAATTTTACCATGTTTTGCAGTTATAGGTCTTTTTAAATTTTTTTATTTTTTTTAAGTTATAGGTCTTTTTATCTAAACATATTTTCAAGGAAAAGTTTGAGAAAGGAATGATTTTATGTCAATTTGAAGTTGAACTGTTTATTCTCCAAATGTGGGCAACTAAACAGTTGCCTGGACCTCCATGCACTATATTTTCACTTAAAGAGGAAACAATAAAATGGAAGAAAATCATATTAAATTATATTAAAATATAAGTATAAAACCACAATTTCAGACATACAAATTATTTTGATGCTACCCCTACAAATATTCCCTCCCATCAGTGCAAACAACAAAGAACATAACTTTTTTTTTTCAATACAACTATGTCATTTGGGGAAAAAATACGAGAATTACATATTTAAAATTAATTAATTCTAGAGGAGTTTCCTTCTGGAAACAATCCAGACTTTGAGAATAAAACCTTTTTCTTATTTTTTTTTTGTAAAAAAATTAATGGTTTATGCTCAAAAATGCATGTGTTTCTTATTCGGCATTCTATATGGGAAGATAGACTTCTGCTTATTAATATCATACCTATATATTTTCAAAGGAATTAATTCCTATTTCAAGATCAAAACTAGTATTTAAGGTTTACAGTTTTGGACCCAGTGGTCCACTGCCAGCATAGTACAACAGGAAAGCTATGCTCATATTCTCTTGCCTTCCCTCCTTCAGATATGGTCCTTGACCAACAGGTGAGCTCAGGTCAGCTGAATGAAGATGTACGTCACAGGGTCCACGAGGCACTGATGAAACAGCACCACCACCAAAATCAGAAAAAACTTACCAACAGAATTCCCATTGTTCGATCCTTTGCTGATATTGGCAAGAAACAATCAGAACCAAATTCCATGGATAAAAATGGTAAATGTTTCCTTATTGTGCTCTTTATATCTACTATAGGTCTCTAAACTATCAGTGCTTCTATATCTTTAAAACATATTTCACTTGAAAATGTTTTATTACAATTCATATTGTTATAGTGGAATTATTTCTTTTCATAGGCATATACTGTATATGCAGTCTTATTATCAAGTATCAAATTGTAGAAATTTTAACAAGGAATTTAAGTTTCTTGAAAGGTTCATGAAAGAATGCAAAGAAAATATATCTAATAAGAACTTACACATATGAATGCAGCAAACATAAATGGAGCATCTCTGGCATCTTAAACAAGTAATGCAATGCTTCAACTTAATGCCAACGGTGGTCTTTAGTTAAAATGAATAATGCTTACCATTTAGTGTTTGTGGAAAAAGATGCTGGCCTCATGTTGCTCACAGTCATTGAATTCCATTAGAGTTAGCAATTGAAAGCCCACCAGCACGCTGCATGTGATTCTACCTATGTTAGGCCTCATTTCTACTCATGGGCTCATTGTTGTGTGCTGTGTGGCATCTTCAGTGGAGCCTCCTCATGGATCATCTTCACATACTATTATTTTACAGAAATCATTGACTTACTTTGACTTCCACTTCAGACTGTTTTATCTCCTGTATTCTTTGTTCTCCCCTTCCATCCATTTAATCTTACATAGACCACACTAAGAAAGCCACTTAGAAATTTCGGTATCATTTATTTTCCATTAGTCTCATTAGGGTAAATGGAGTTACCATGAGATAAAAATGAGTTTGTTAATCTTCCATCAGCTATAAAAGTACTAAAGCACATGTGTTGACAGCATGGACTAAATCTTGTGTGATTTCATTCCTTTTCAAAATCTTTAGTGATGTCTTAAACACAAATGTATGAAATTGAGTTTTCTCTAGACTTTGCTCTGTATGGAAATTTTCACCAGTTTTCATACTACTGAATCAAATATACACAAACAAATACAGAAGAAATGGTCTAAGGTATCACTCAATTTTGTTTCAGAATATAGGTCTAGTTTCCAATAGCAAGAAACTTATTTTTAGAAGTCCCAATGACTGAAGATGTCATTGTTATTGTATAGAAGGATCTATAGTTGTGCATACATAAAATTTGCAAAAATTGTAATGAGCACTTTATGGTTTATAGCAACTTAAGATTACAAATTCCACTGAATATTGTGAAGATAGATAACATTCTTTGATTCAAATCTTTTATGCCATATATTTATATTCTAAATCACAATTTCATTTAAGCTATATGATACATATTAATGAGAAAATGAAGTTATGATTGGAGAGATAAAATGTAGTAATTTTATTATTCTTATAATGCTAGTATTTTTAATTTGGTTTGGTAATGTCAAGAAAACTAATTCAAGTATGAGCTTATGTTTACAGGATTTCACAAACCTTATGAAAATATACCCAGGAACTAATTATCCAAGAACTTATATACATTTTGAAAAATTAAACTATTGCCTTCATTTTGTCAATTTTACTGAAAACCAGACAGTAAAATATATATATCTATAAGAAAAGTTTGTGTTTCTTCAAAGAGGCAATGATCTTAGACTGTGAACTAGCTATAATTTAACCTCAAACTTCATTTGGAATAATGTTTACTAGACAAAAATTTCATTGAATTTTGTTTTTGTTTTCTGAGGGAAGAGAGCATGGAATTTACTGGATCAACTGACCATTTATTATAATATCAGGCAGACCTAGACTTACTGTTTTTGCTTTAAACTTCTGTCAAATGTAAAAAAAAAGATGTGAGAATTATAGCTGTAGAATTACAGCCATGAGTCACAAGTTTCTCTATAGATAGATATAGATATAGATAACAAGGTTTTCTGAGAGCTTACTTTTTGTCTTATTCAGGAAATGGCTTAGTGTTCCCAAAAAGTAGTATCTGAGTGATTCTGTTGCCATCTGTAAAATCAGCCTTTATCTGAACACACACGCATCTTTTCAGGGCATACGTTAGGGTAATAAAAACTTGGAAACATTTGTAATAAGATTCATATATCCAATTAAGTATTGTTGTAGAGTATGCTGTCAGAAGTAGTTTTCTAAGCCTAGGCTTATAACACCTCCTTATGACTCTGTTTTGCTTTCTCACACACTTTACATAATTATGTGTGCTGAGAATTCTGAAAATATGTATAGACTTTACCAATTTAGAAATAAATCTTCTACTCAGAAGTGAAAAAAAGTGTGAAAGACCTTTACTACTAAGGTTCTCAATCTACTTATGAACTCTAAAAACTGACAAAGTCTAGATAAACAAACAAATTTAAATTCATAGCCATATATATAGACTTGACATTAGGTTTCAAAACATCTAATAGAGGTTCAAATTTTTTGGTGTAGTAGTACAGGGAGATGCAAAAGGATTTTAAAATATCAAAAAGAATAAAAATAATATTTTCTTATTTAAAAATCTCTTCAGTAAGATATTTCACCCAAAAAGGTTCACTTTTTTCTTTTATGATTATAGAATAAGAATTAAGCAGGGAGCATTTTCCAGAAACTTGATGGCAGAACATGTTTTCCTTTCAAAACATAAATATGGAAATAAATTCTCTCTTCTTATTTAATGTGCTTTTGCTTTAGGGGCAAAGAAATTGAAATGCCCTAAAAAATGGACTGATGATTACGTAAAGATGTTTAAAAGAGTTACTTAGAATGAGTTTTCTACTCCCTTAATTGAATCGCTCCTTGAGCATGCTACTTTGGGAGTTATTGTAGTCAATGTTTTCACTGCTGTGACCAAAAGACCTAAAAGAACAATTTTAGAGGAGCCAGTTTATTTGGCACTCATATTTTCAAAGGTCTCTGTCCAGAGATGGCCAACACCATTGCTCTGGGCTCAAGGTGAGGCAGAACAATAGAAGTGTGTGGTAGAAGAAAACAGCTCAGGACATGGCCACCAGGAATCAGAAAGATCTCTGCTTATCAGGGACAAAAAATATATACTCCAAAGGCATGCCCATTAGTGACTTACCTCCTTCAGTCACACCCTACAGTTGCCATCCAGTTAACACATTCAAGAGGATTAATGCACTGGTTGGGTTGAATATCCCATAAAAATTTCATCATTTCACTTCTAAATTTTGCCACATTGTCTCACACATGAGCTTTTGGGGATACCACATATCCAAACTATAACAGTATTACTCCAAAGGTTAAACATCCAGGTGCTATTGTGAATGTGTGTCTTTCTAGTTTTAAAGGTTAGATTAACAAGATAGTGTAGTTCCTTGCTCTTTTCCTTCCCATGTCTACACTTTTGTTCATACTTTTTTAGTAACTTGTGATAATTTGTCAATCTCCACCTCCCAATACACTGTACTTTTTTGTATAATTTTTTCTTGGTATTCTGCATATTCTCATGGGCTAAGATGCAGGATGCTATGGATTCTCCATGCATTTTTAATGCCACCATGCTGTGTTTAACTTTCACTTTTCATTAAGCATCAAAACTGTGAGAATTAAATGTCTGATTCTGATGTTTCAATAAAAAGTGACAGTTACATTTGGCAAAACAACAGCAAAAATAATAGAAAAATAATATCTACTTTGACATTAGAACCCTGAAAATGGTATGGATGGAAAGTACTAAAAATAAATATATCAAGAATATTCAGATACTTTCTTGAAACTAGAAGATGTTTTAAAAACAAGACTAAAATAATCAAAATAGCAAAATAAATTAGTATTTGCATTTATTACTTAGGTCATACATTCACTTACTGAGAAATTTGAATTGCAAGTCAATTTCAAAATGTTATTACCCTTGTGATAACTTTTGTAGTTTTGAAAACAATCTGAGACTCTTAGTTTCCTTAGATGTAGGGTGTCTTCAATCCACTCTGTCCTTTACTAATAATTTCTAATTCTGTCCCTCTCTTTTATGTGTTTCATATTTAGAATCTCAAAAACAAACTGCAAAGCAGAAAGTCTCTAGTATTTGTTCAAATACATAATTACTGAAGAACATTTAGGTGTGGAAGGTTGGGATATGTATTGATTCTTTAGACCTAGGTAGATTCCAGCCCTTGAAGCACTGTATACATATGTACTATGAATTATTATTATTTGTGGTTTTGGAAATCCCATTTATTGCCTTATAATCACTTATTTTACAAATGCTGTACTTTTTATTTACAAATGCATGATGCCTTTATGTGTCTTGATATTTACATGTTTTGTTGTTTTTTAAATGTTGTGGTCTCATAAATAAGATATCTATGGTGTAATATTTATCTCTCATAATGTTCTATCTAGGAAGAAAAAGGTAAAGATAGAATATTTCTTATTAGAATTTCTTGACAGAAAGCATATTAAAAGATTCATGTAGGTGAAAGAAAACCAGGATGGTATTGTTGACAAACTTGATGGGTCTGTTCAGGGATTATATTATATTGTATACAACAATATTATATTGTTGTAGTTGAGTTTTGAACTCAAGACTAAATCTTAATAGCAAGCTTAGTTCTATGATGATGTGCTTAAATTTGTTATTTCTTATATTACATTAATTATTTTCAGGCATACTAATTTTTCTCCAAGTTTAATTATATGCATACTTTCATGTTTATTAAATATATCTCACCTAGTCAACATTTTCTAAATATTTAAACCTTCTTTCTTCATGTTTTCTAATCCCATGAATAAATGTATTGTTACACATGTACGTAACTTTGTCATTCATCTTTATATTTCTTTATTTTGCTCTGTCTTGTGTCTGTCTCTAACAGGCTCATCTCATCTCTGTACCTCCCTCATCTCCTACCCTTTGGGTATCTAAATGCGTTGACGTTTTCTGAGGTAGTGTAACCAGCTTGGTCTCTAGGTTAATAGTAATGTATTTCCATGTCTTCATCCCAGTTTCCTTCTAGTACACATGATTTACAGTAGAATAAGCAATACTAAACAATGATACATTTAAGCAGTATTGATTTGAATTTGGCCAAATAAAAATTTAAAAGCTGCTATTTTACAATACTTCTGTGCACAATTTACTTAAAGAGGGAGAGAACTATATGTAAAGACTTGAATGAATCAGTGTAGTACTCAAGATATTTTTTGAGAACATATTTACCATTGTGTTTAATGATGAGGTATTTTAATGATACTGTCATGACTTGAAATCATGAAATAGTACTTCTGATGTAATCTATTGTTCCCATCCTACAATATTATAATGAAGGAAATGGCTATGCCAGTATTACAAAACATTTAATGAAAAATTTATGGTGTGACAAGCAGAGAAGCACAGCTTCCATTTTTCAGGCAGTGGTCACTTGAATTGCTGTCAGTTTTTATCCTGTGCTTGGCCCTAGAAAAATACATTAACTATAATATTTTATATGATTCCTACATGTAAGTCCAGAGGGAAAAATCATTTTATCATTCAAAGAAAATTAATTCAAACAAGTGTTCATATGAATATTGCATATACTTAGATGAGATGTAAAACAAATATTAGAATTGGGATTAAAGTGAAGAATTCTTTAAGTGTAACAGAAAATATAGATGTATGTCAGAGGATGATGTGTTAGGCTTATCAGTGTTTACATTTAAATAGTTAGACTCTGGTTACTGTTAATGCTTTTTTTACTTTCCATCACTTTTTGAATACTTTGAATGTAATAGGTTACCAAGTTAATAAATATCTATTTTTACAATCATTTTTATGTCTTAAAATTATTTAGATATTATAATAACAAAGGTTGTTAATCATTGCAATGACATTCACTCATAGGTGATATAAATATGGAAAGTTATCAGTGGACAAACTGAAGGTAACAATAAAGAAACAAGTTAAAACATTTCTGTTTGCAAGCATTGTAATATAATGATTAGGAAAGCTATAATAAATAAGTAGCATTCATAAAGCTTCCATAAATATGTGAGTGCTAAACTCAAACTAAATACTATCATTTTTTCCTGGTACAGAAAATATCCCAGCAAATTATTTGTTATTCTATTTAGAACACATTCTCTTCTGGTTGAAGGATAAATTCTGCACTTAAAAATTGCCATTTTGTAAACTATGGCCTTCAACATCAGCAAGTCAGCAAGAAAGATAGTGATTCTCTTTCAAAATCTCAATGTATAGATTACCTTTTGTGTTTAGTTTTTTGGTACTGGGGATTGAACTCAGGGGCATTCAACCACTGAGCCACATCCCCAGCCCTATTTTGTATTTTATTTAGAGACAGGGTCTCACTGAATTGCTTCGTGCCTCACCATTGCTGAGTCTGGCTTTTAACTCATGATATTCCTGCCTCAGCCTCCCGAGTTGCTGGGATTACAGGCGTGCGCCACTACGCCTAGCTGGATTACTTTTATATAATAGTTTTTTAGTTCAAGAAATCTACTTTGATATTCAAGCCCATCAATTTCTTTTGAAAATTTGTAATGATTTGAATAAACTGAAGAAATATTCAGACAGATTATGATTCACAACAGAATTATAAAAATTTCTTCAACATATGAGAGTTCTAGTAATTCAATGGACTATAAATCATGTTTGGATTTTAGTTTTATAAATATATCAAATAAAAATTTGAGCTACTTTTAAAGGCCTCTATTTTTTTTACAAATAACCCAAACCAAACTTATTAATTTTTAAATTATAGTACTTGAACATTTTTCTATTTTCTGCCAGCTTGTCATAACTGTTCTGAAGATATACACATTTAATGTGTTCTTTTGTCTTAAATAATTAATGCAAGTTTTAAGAAATAATATACTAAGATTTCAAATGCTTCTTAAAATTTTCAGGACCTTTGTCATGATAAGTACATTTTACCATATCTCCAAAATATAAAAGATAAAAAATTTGTGGTTTATATTACTATCTCATAGGCTGATAGTTTTTATGCCTTCCCCCCTGCATTAGCATATATTCTGTGCACACATCTAGAATCTAGAAATAGCAAGGAATTTATTATCATCTAGTATGATTCCTGCTAAATATTCTCAACTAGATCATTATCAATCCCACTTAAAATATTCAAAGAAAATAGATCCTAAATCACTTTCTTAATATCAACTTTATAAGGTAATGTTTTGTAAAATTTTTTAATCATCTTGGAACAAGAATAGACTAGAACAATAAATTACAAAATATCTTAAAATTATTAACATTTATGACTAAAATTCTTTGCGAGTATAAATATAGATGCTAATGTTTTAAACATATTGCATGAACTAAAATAATTTGTGAAATGTTCTACTGAAAATATACAAAAGAAAACAAAAGATATTCAATTTTCTTTAAATTTTAAGTTTCAACATACTTTCCATTTGATTCAATCTCTTCAAAGTTGATGATTTTGCATGGGGTTACTTTCTTTTTGTATGTGTATACTTAGAGAATTAAATAATTGTTCTTCAATGAGTTTTATACCACATGAAATTAATTATTGTAAGAAAGCAGATACATGTTTATTTAATTTTCCCATGACTTGTGTTTCACCACTCAATTTTATAGAACATTCAATAAATTTAGTTTGAAATATATCTAATGTTCTAACTCATGAAAATATGGAGAAATGATGTGAAACTGGTGATTGAAGACATCTGTTAGTAGCACAAATGCATTATGTAAAAGGTTTTTTAAAAAATTACAGTTATTATTTTGAGAATGGTAAATTGAATGGCTGCTAATGAACAGTTCACAGTGAGAGCTGCATATTGCAGTTAGAAATGGGAGAATGGAAATATTTTATGTACTTTGTCTGAAATTTCTCTGAACTTTATAAATTTTCCTGAAATATGCTATAATCAGAACTTGCATACATGGATTGAGGTGAATTTGCTTTTAAAAGTTGCTTATTTTATTTTCGCCAAATATTGTATTTTATTTTGTTTAGTGAAAGCAGAGAAGCATTTAAGCTCTAAAAGTGTCTTAAGCCCTATTGCTTTCTGACATTATAACAATGTTAAATCATAAAATTGTTCCTATTAGTAACTGACTCCTACCTGAGAGGCTTAATATTCCAAAAATGATAGTGTTTTTAATCACACTAGGTGATTTCTAGGTAACAAAGAATAAGTGAGGTTTTAGGAGAGAATTTAAAAGGGAAGTTTTTTTTTTCTTTTGTAAGTACTATTGGAATTATAGAAGTTCAAATGAAGACCATAATAATTGGAGAAGAGGGGAATGAAAAGAGGAGTTTGGAATAAAATTGAGATTTAAGTAGGTAGAAAGAAGAGCTAGGTAGAGAGAGTATTTCTGAAGTCTCAGACTGATGAAAGTGAGCGCAATATTTTGGAGTCACTGAGTTAAGGTCATAAATGTGGTCAAATCTTCAAAGTTGGGTTGTCATCACTCATTTCACAGAGGAAGAGTCTAGATGGGAAGAAGTTGAGGAAGAAGAGACATAAGTGAGAAGTTAAATAAACCTTTGTCATTTAATTGTGAACTATGGATAGATTTTAAATGACTTATACCTGCAAAGAATATTTGGTAGTTAGTGAATGATGGGATTTAACCTTTTCCGTCCATTGTCACATCCTCAGCTCTGATCTGTACTTAACTAATGTAATCTTCACTATAATAGGGAAAAGAACTACAAAAGAATTAAGTTTTGGTGAGTGTTAAAAGAAGATTAATACAACTCACGTTTATTGATCATTCTTATATAGAAGCCCAATATCAGTATGCTTATGTAATCGAATAGTCACATTCATTAAAATTATATTTATTATTTTTATACTGTATAAAATAAAGATATTTCTAACTGAAAGCCTAATATAGAAACCTCTAAAACTTATTGCTGAAAAACTTACTGGTTTGGCTTTTTAGATGTGATTAGATCTAAAAGTGCTAGGTAATTTTTAAATCAACATTCATCTTTGTTTTTTAATGTTTGAAATTCTGTAGTCTAGGCTTAAATCTTAATAGATAGCTGTCTTTTTAAAATATACCATTTTTTGGATTGATATTTGAAAATCAATGCTGTTTCACAATCATGGTTAGATTTAGGTGGTTTTGTAAGCACATTTTTTTTCAGAGAGAATAATCTCTAGAGTTTTAAGTTGAGAACTGGTTTAAATTTTATTGACTGATTTCTCCCATTTCTATCTGTAACTGTTAAGAATTTGGTATTGATCCAGATCTACTTATATTGATCCTTCATGTTTATATCACAAAACTTATTAAAAGAAATCTGTTAGTCTAGTTTAATTGAAGTTGATGTTTCACTCTGTATATCCATAATTATGTAAATAATTTTCTGTATTTTGTAATAACAATTTCTTTCAGCAGGTCAGGTTGTTTCTCCTCAGTCTGCTCCTGCTTGTGTTGAAAATAAAAATGATGTTAGCAGAGAAAACAGCGCTGTTGACTTTAGCAAGGTAAACTTTTCTCTTTCTCTCTCTCATCTAAGAAGTTTGCTCAATTACCGTTAGAAATTACTACCTATTTTAGGAGGTATTGACATAATTTTTTTGCATGCACTTTTTGGTTTTCTTTCAGTCAAAGTTTGGAATTGTTATAGATAATGTTAGCATTAAGTGCACATATATTGTTTTGCTTACTCAAGAAACTGAACATGTGAGTTTTATGCACAATGTTCAGTATTCAGCCACTTGGTATAATGTATTTCTTTCAATAAAAGAAATAATTGGACTTCACAAGGATTTTAACATAAGTTTAATTTGATGTTTAAAAATTTTTACTAGTATTTTTTTCAAACTCACTTTTATGATATTTATGGAAAAACAAATCATATACTATAAAGCTTTACTGTCATTATAATTCAGAGTCATTAGTGTACGGAAATCCTAGAAGGACATGGTGAAATTGAGCTGTTTTGAATAAAAGCACACTAAAGATGACTGTGTTGATGGATACATCTAATTGGAGACAATTCAAAAGAAATCCTTTATTTGAATATATTCTAATAAAATAAGGAGTCATTGAAAATAATGTGATTTAGGTTGGCAAATTCCTGACACTGCATATGTGCCATTGTAAGTTATCAAAACTAACATTCAAAAAGAGAAATTGTAATACATGAAAAATAAGAAGAGCAAACAATGCTCTTTATCTAAGTGGCTGAAACAGTAATAACTGAGTTAATACTTTGATAAAGTCCTTAGTGCTGGCAAAGGTTGTAATAGTGAATGAGTGGTCTGAGATGGGAATGGGAGGCTCTTTGCAATGGAGGAAGTTGACTGAATCAGTTCTGTTTCAGCATTGCTGTGATAATGCCTAAGTGATCTAAGTCTAGTTAAGTGCATGTTCTCCTCTGATGCCTGGTAGAGTCTCATGGGAGCCTGGTATACCAGCTTAAGTCTGTTAATTATGCGTGCAGGGACTGGGAGGCCAGCAAAAGGGGCACACTAGTCCATGTGGGATGAAACAAAGGCATGAAAAAGGACCTCCACACCAGCAAGAGAGAGAGGTGAGGGCTTCCTCGGGCTACTTTTCTACAGTGGTTCAGAGCTCATTTCACTGTATGGAGGCATGTGATTCAAATATTCAGCCAGTTCAAATGTATTCCATTTGTCACTCTAAAAATTATCTTTTAAGGCATTACATCTTCATTCATCTGAAAGTTGGAATAAAATTGTCACAAACTGCTCTAACTTAATTTGTGATATTCTTAATTTGAAATAATATCTTAAAAGTCATGACATATAAAATTGATTATTCATTTATGCAAACATTAACAGTATAACAAGGGCATATTTAACATTCTCAAAAATAATTATTATAAACTCTATAGCTCATCCTTTCAAATTAACTACCTTTTAACTTTCTAAAATAATGTAACACTTATATACTGAATTTTTATATATCTCCATGTCATTTTGGTTTTTGTTATGTGACCTATTTTTACAACCTTCAACAATGTATCATCACCTATAAAGAATATGAAGATTGACAATTGAAGACAGTAGTCTTATTTTCTGTTCTCCTCAAACAGTTGGGACTAGAAAAAAAAAATAAATGTTTTCCTTTAATCCTCTTCTTCATCATCACATTTCCATTCACTGGTCCATTTAATAGGGAAATTAAATTTTTCAGAGCCCTCTACTTAGTGCCTGTCATTTGTGTTTCTCAGGTTCTTGTCCTTAGAATAGTACATTGGAAAGAACATGGATTTGAGATCTTGAATCCTGACTCTAGCATTTATAAATTATCTGATCATTGAGAAATTCTCTGAACTCCAGTCTTCTCATTTATAAAATAATAATAATAATAATAATAATAATAATAATAATAATAATACATATCTGTGGTTTTGTTACAAGATTCAATGAGAGAGACAGTGAACCTGGCAGGGAACTGGGCATATAGTAGATGCTCAAGAAAAGTGGCTTCTATTATTATTGCTATATTAATATTAGTAGAAATGGAAGTAACCAAATAAATAACAAACCAGGTTTTAATGTTTTGGTAGATATGCACTCTTTAAGTCTTAAATAAGGCTGGGATGGGAAGGGTGACCACCGACAGAAAAGGCCCAGTGGCCCGCGGCGGGA